CTACAGTCTTTGTCCAAGAGGGGTCTTACTGCATGTCTAGACTGTGAACGAATAGTTTAGTCTTACAAAGAACCGATAGGTGATCATTCTGTTCGAAACACTTCGAACCACACTATATCAATGTAAGACAAGGAGTATGATTGCATAAATAAATAAACTGCAAGCATATGTACTTTGCTCCGAAACATGATGGCCAGATCAAAATGGAATTGCTAAGGTCTACAAAACCGATATTATACAGCATAACTCCAACATTCCCTTCATCATCTGGTTTATTAGTGTTTGATGGCTCTCCTGGGGTTGTAAAGTTGCTCTGGCTATTGGAATGGTGAGATGGATTGGAGTTGTGAGGTGATCCAAAGTTCCTTCCAAGGTCCATTTGCTTTCATCCAGTCCCCAAATTGCCCCTCCTTCAATTTCCCTTCCTCAATGTGACATAACCTAGTTCTGCAATCCCTCTCCAAGTGCCCAGCAAGACCATAATAGAAACACAAACTGACTAATTTCTCATATTGAAACACAACCTTGAACTGTTGAGCTCCCAATTTGATGGTAGTGCACCTAGGAAGAGGCTCTGAAGCATTATGAGAAATTAGCAAGCGAAGAAAGCTGCCTCTTGCACCCCCTCTTTCACCACAATCACATTTCTAAATCTTTTAAAAAGCTTCCCAATCTTCAACCCCACATCAGTACTCAGCCAGTGACGAGAGAGTTTATGTACCTGGACCCATAGAGAGACTTCACTAAAGCCAACATCTTTTTCCTAGATATCTTGTCGCCAATCCTGCAGAACCAGGTACTGATTTTCAAATACACAGTTAACACCGGCCAGAACTTTGTCTTTGTCTTCATGGCACCCGAAAATGAATTGGAAAAAGTTTCGTGCCACTTCCTTCACTTCAATCGGTTTATCCGTTTGCCAGACAAAACATTGATACCGAAATTGTTTGCCTTTTTGTCGCCAATTATTTTTCCCAACAAACTTTTGCGGCATTCTTCAACACTAATACGAACATCATTGTCCTCCAGCTCCACCCCACCACTTTTCTAAAAGAAGAAGATTATTGAGCCGGTCCACCAAATCTTCCTCCATCAGAAAACCCTAGGCATTCATTTCCCAAAAGATTACAACCAATCCTAGAGATGATATATTCTGCCTCCAATTGAGAAACACACGAGAATTGAGACGAGAATCAATACTGAACTTTTTTAAAAGAGAATGAAGTTCTCCGATGAGAGAATCGCCCTCTCCGATGAGAGAATAACATTGATAGCTATATAATTTGTTAAACATTTACTTTAGCATATACGCAACATATATTTTACCATGCTATTACGTTAACACAACATTTATTTTATTTAAATAGAACAATACCATGGAATGGTATATGAATACCCATTTTTTTTCTCTCAATTAAACCCCACATATAGCAAATACCAGCTTTGCTATAGAGTCATCAGATGGCTCGGCTTATGAAGTCATCCATAGTTAATCACGAATGATATATAACATATTTCTTGCAATAAATTCACATCGGGCATGTGTCTGTACATAAGGTTATGGATGGTTCCATAAGGGAGTCATCTGATGGCTCTATAGAATTTTTGTAGCTAATAAACCTCAATGTAGTAGTTCTTATGTAATATTGTTCATATTATAGAAAGTAGGTGTTCTATATAAAATTTTAGACAAGATATACGTTAGTTGATCATGTACACGGCAGTCGAGGGTGGGTGTGAGAGAGAAACACACAATATTTTATTGTTAATTCCATTTTTTCTGGTGAAGACGGTGCACCGCAGTCGAGGTCTAAGACAGAAAAAGCACAATTTTTTTAGTGATTTCCTTTGCGTGTGGAAGGAAGGATAGTATCTCTACATCATGCAATGAGATAACTACCATTAATGTTTGTGGTGGGTAGTTTAAAAACTGCTGAAAATAAAACTGTTACCAATATTAGTTAAATATTTCCTCAGAAAGCTCGTGCAAGTAGGGAATGCGACCTAGAGCAAGATCCATGTGTTCCCTGCACGACCCGCGTTGCCCTACGCGACCAGCCATCGAGACCCACAATCTTCTCGCGAGACCCACGTGCCCAGTGCGACTTATCCCGCTTTCCAGCTCTTGTGCGCAAAATCTCATTGGTCAATGTCGACCGAGCGCCCAGTGTCCGTGCGTGCAGCGTAACCCACGTGCTCCCAAGCCTAACATGGGTGCCCAGCGCGATCCAGTCTACAAGCACCACACCAGATCCAGTCCATTCTGGCCCAGAAGTTGTCCAAAATCACACCAGTTCGGCCCAGAAGCCCCGTCGGCCCACAGTGACCTCGGAGCAGTTCGACTTAGCCACCGATGGTTGAGACAGTCCAACGCTAGCGTCGAGCAACTCAAATCATGAAATGCGAGAGACGGTCGAGATTCGGTGATGGCGAGGCCAAGTCTGGGAACCCAACAAGGTTCAGTCGATCTCCAACTGCATAAATCATAAACATCTCAGAATCGACAAAACATTTATACCGTAAGTCCTCGTCCTAACAATATATTCTGCAACGTTAGGTTTTCTTTTTAATATATTCGAATGTGCACGAGGACAACATTCTTCATAGAACCCAACAACCCTGGCAGATACCCTCCTTCGTGATGGTCGGATACATGGTGATTACCACCGGATCGAGCACACAATCGTCCAGTTGATTGTGATTGAATAATAAATTAAATTTGAGAATTATGGTTTTATTAATGGTGTTCGATTTTTGTGATCGAGGTTCTGATTCAGATCGTGAAGAAGACGGGGTGTCGAAGAATCGCACAAGGAGTGCCATGGCGACAGTGATGGCGTGGCAGAGGTCGACGCCGGTGACGTCGGTCCAAAGAGGATGAAATCGACGGTGCAGAGAGATCAATGGCAACGATGTTTTCTCTGAGAATTAGTCGAAGAGAATGAAACGCAGATAGGTAGCGTTAAAGAGACATCGCCAATAGTAGAAGATGACGGGCGGAGACGGGCGGCGTTGGGCGACAGCGGGTGTGAATTGCGCATAGTGTGTGTTTGTGTTTGTGTGTGTGTGTGTGAAAGAAACAACATGATAGTGGGGTTGGTTGGGGCCCATCATATGGGTGGATGATTTGTAATTTTGCGTAATGACTATTTTACCCTCTCTGGGTGGTCAAATGTATACATTTGACCAAAATATGTACACATATTTATGAGAATGCCACGACATATTTGACTACCATTTGCTAAAGTTTGACTTAATCATGGTCGTTGACTTAATGAATCCAATGGTCACACTTATTCTTATTTATTTCACTATTTACCATTCTTATTGAATCCTAACAATATCCCCCCTATATATTAGTCAGAACGCGCTGAGCCTACGTGGCTGCTTCTGGTGCTTCGGAATCATATGTGGCAAAATTACATGCTTCGTTATTAGGCTTGGGTAAATTTTAATTTAATTTCAAACCAAAAATAATTAGGTTCATATTATCATAAATATGTTAATTATTTATGGTCATGTTACGTGTTTAATTGCATTTTAATAGCATTCATTATTATAACTATTGAATTGTATATATATATCTTAAAAGTTAATAACTTTTGTGTTTTTTATCAGTTTTACATATGTAATATATCAAATTAATCTTCTTTTGATGAGCTTCGATTTAACATCCATATTGTATGTATAAAACAAAATAATTTATATTTATCTTTATAACAATAATAAAATTATTTTTAATATTAATTAGAAAAATAAAATTATTTATCAACTAATATATTTATATTTCAAGTAGTTATATGATATAAGTTATAAAAACTAATATAATATAACACATGTAAGTCATAAGTAACACATATCATTCTAAAATATATAGTAATATATTTTTTTGAAAAAAATAAATTAAATTTAATATAGTTTTCTCATTAATTTTAAAATTTAAGAATAATTTTTTAACAAGCACCCGTGTAATACACGGGAGTTGTACTAATATATATATATATATATATATATA